GATATAGTTATATATACGTGGACTACCATCACTCTTCAAGCTGACTCTTTTTGTATCTTATGCAAAAGGTAACCATAGTTCATCAGCTGATGTAATTTTTGGAAAAATTGGAGAAGAGAAAATGCTTTGTTGAATCCCTCCTGGTTGAGCAGGGATAGAGCAGAGATAGAGATAGATATATAATTTAGTTGATTAAATTATACAAGGTGTCCTTTTTATTCAACTGTTTTTATTCAATTAACTAAAAATAAAATAAAATAAAATCTCCTTAATCTCTTTAATGAATATTATATAGGACATTATTGAAATGTCCCTGTAGTCAAGCTGCCAGAAAGGGAAATAAAAGCATATTGCACCAGGAGGCTAGGAAGTTAGAAGGTGAACCTGATTTAAATGAAAACCAAGGTCTGTCATGAACCTATTTTGTGTAGAAAAGTGGTTTCTTGAACTGACTTGATTTCTACTTTGGAGGGAATTGTAGGTTACAAATGCATACAAAAATATGCATGAATACAGGAAATTGACAACCTTTGATTCCATTGTGATCCTTTCCATGTGTCGCAGTTTTATATGGGGTTAAACGCCTGAGAATGGTTCCAGAATGTCATTGTCTTATGAAAAAAAACTTGTGAACAATGTGTTAAAATATCATTATACTGTGACCTGTCATGATATGAATAGTAGTCCTTGGATCTACTGTGCTTGGAGTAGAGTAAAGAGCAGTGATAACTATGGATAGTTGTCTAACCCTGATAAACTGCTGAGATACCCAACTATGTACTACTCTACCTGATCATAGTCTCCTGATGGGATATCTAAAGTGTAAATCTCATGTATGATTAAAATGCTCTGAATTCTACCTCTCACCTCTGTAGTGTCTACCTACTTTGGTTGATTTTGTTCTCCACTAGCTTCCACAACCCGTTTCGTATTGTTCAAGGCAGATCCTATTGTGCAGAGGCATTTTAGAGTATCTGATTGAAGAGGTGACAGACAACTTTCCTGCCATGAATTTGAGTTAATTAATCATGGCATTCAAATCACTGTTTTCTGAAAAGATTAGTATAGTGTATAGTGTTAGCAGCGCAACTTATATGTTTATCTGTTCTTCCAGTGAATCTGCCAGCTCACAGAAAGCAGGAAAATCC